AAGATTAAATACTCAACATTTATAATTAAGAATACCTAGCTTGAACTATGTTTTACTAATATATATTAAATTTAAAAAACAAACCATATAAAATAAAAATAAAAACTATTTGATTGTTATTATATTAAATTATTGTATCTCTTTGAATATTATAAATTATAAACTAATGATATTTTGTAAAAATCACTAGGTAATTTTTTGTCTAGAATATTAGATAAAACTGTGAGAAAAAAATAAATGACAATGAATACTTTATTTTAGTAACCGGTGACATACTAAATATTGTAGTATTTTACAATTCTAAATGAACCTATACAGTGAAAAGATAAACTTATTGTAGCTTTCTACCAGAATTACAGGAAAAAAATAATCTAAATATCGGTTTTAAATGTTGTGGATAAAAGTATATTTAATAATTTCCATAAGTGAAAATATAAGTATGCACAATTTATTCTGATAAAGAAATGTAACACAATTCATATTACCGTCTGATGTTTTTTCGACATAATAATAATATCACATAAATAAATGTGTCTGTCAATTTTCATTTTCTCACCATTACTTTGAGACAAAAAATATGTCCAGTGTTTTTAGCAATTACTTATTTATTATTATAATTTATAATAACCATTATAATTAAATCTAACATGAAGTCACCTACAAAATACTTGTTAAATTATATAAGTGCTTTATATAACCATGTTTTATTCAAGACTAATACTTAAATTTAATATATATTTATATACTGTGATTTTGTTAATTTATTTCATATATTGAAATTTGTATTAAATGAACTGTGATAATATCTTCTTATGAATTTTACAAACTTGACAAATTCTCGACAAATGTATTGTATTATTTTTATTACATACCTAACTAAATTATGTATTAAAGTACTATTTTATTATTCTTTAAATTATTTTATGTTATTATATTTGTTGTATTAAAAAAATTATTTTCAGTTATAAAATAAATAAACTATACAGAATCTGAAACTAACAAATACAACTTTTCTTCTATTGTTTTGGAGAGGTATAAGTAAATGACAATTATTTTTTAATTGTATTTATTATTCAAGTGTTTTGTAACGAAGATGTACAATAAAACATTTACAAATATATTTTTTTACATGCATATAAAAAAACAATTCGAAAAAAATGACGAAATACAAAGTCAAAAACATTATTCGGACAAAAAACGCGTTCTATTTACTTATAATAATTAATAAATAAAAACAAAATCACCGACGCTTTACAATGGTACCACAAATTAGTATAGTTTATGTTCAATTTTAGACTTGTCTAAAATACAATACACACTCAATATTATTTATATAATGTAGTAAGTACGTGTAATGTATGTATTTATATAATATAAAACATATATGGATGTGTGTGTTTATATGTGTGTGTTATAAATATTTAAATAATCTTAATTAACATTCAACAAATTACACACTAATATCAGATGTACAAAGTGATGTAATCGTTCATATTTTGTATAATAAAGGACATTCGGCGTCATTCGACATTCAACACGGTAAAAAAATACTTATATTTTTAGCTATAAAAACAAGTTCAAATTTTAACTTGAAAAAACAGTTAAATCGTTGGTTGCAATCCAACTAACGACTAAGGGTTAATTAAAAAAAAAATACATCAAAAGATTGTCTGTTACCGAAATATGCTTAAAGCACACTACGTCACTAAATCGAACTATGGTTTTCGTCATGAGTAAATATAACATTAATGTCCATAATTTTTCTGAATCAGATTTCAAATCATTGACTTAAAACAAAAATATATTTACCAGTTGACAAGCTTTTGTCTAAAAATTATAATTTAAGTAAGTGATAAAAAAAATAATATATTTATAACTCTTAAATATTAGAAATGCGATCTAAAATAATAATATTTAACAACAAATTTTTACAGAAATTAATGTAAACAAATAAAATAAAACATTACTATATAAATTTGTACAATATATTTAAAAAAAATCTGTATAATATAACCTAGCTTTAGTTAAAATGCGTTTTTAATGAATATAAAAAAATAAAACTATGTTTTCAACAATTTAACGAGTGTATTTTTTACTAACGCGTTGAATTTGATGTATAATAATTTTAAGAGAGGCTTCAATTAAGAAAAAGTGAATCTATTATCCGTTTTAATGGGCAGTTGTAAAAACTTATCGTCACTCGTAACGAGAATAACCATCATACAGTTTTTATTTGTAAATTAAATATTACTGATCATAGGTTTCAAAAAAAAAAAAAAATGTTGGATGAATTTTTCTCTCTTCAATTTAAGTGATTAAATATAATATAAAATATAAAATGTATATTGATATACCTATAGCTAAATTATATAGAATTTGTTTAATGTCGTTGTATAAGTCTTATAACGACCATAAACAATTTTTTAATTATTCTATCAGGATTTAGGAATTAGTAAAATATTGAACAGAATCTAACTTATACCCTAACTGATAACCTATATTATGCGCTTACAATTTATCAGATAATTACAGAAAACTTTAATAAATTATGAAAAAATTAACTTATTATGAGTAAACTAAAATTTTTGAAGACTATAATTGCTTGACTAAACAAGATTATAATTTTTTAAATGTTTTAAATATTCACTCATCTACAAACTGTACAAGAAAGGGAAAATCGTTAAATTCACGTGTAAGGATTATTTTAAGTAAACACTTGCATTATTTTAAATTTCAGCAATTTAATAATGTATTCACGATTGTTCACAAAAACAAAAATACATATATATATAATATATCCATTCGTATACTGAACTACATTTTTATTTTGATAAATTTTATCATTTTGTATAACATATTTTAGATTTAGTTAAAAAAGTTATTAATTTAGTTTTAATTTTATAAAATCAAAAAAACGTATAAATAAAAGCCCCTAATAACGTGTATTATAATAAATGAATAATTATTTATATATCTCACGAAACAATTGATTACAAAAAAGAAAATATTATTGATCTTAAAAAAAGATGAATAATTGTCGATTGCATTAAATTATGCTTATTTGTTTAAAAAAAAAAAATGACCGTATTTAAATCAAAGTTTATACTTCAAGAAATAAATATGGCTCAGTATGTAATTCGTTCAACAGTTTTATGTACACGGTTAATTGGACATCAGTTCAAAGCAAACGATATTTTTTCTTTATCTATTGTTATGCATAGTGTCTATTAATATGAACGTTCTTATTATAGTAATACGATAACGATGAACGTGGTAGAAATTCAAATTATTCACTCTTAACAACAAATTGTATTTTGATAAATTTACATAAAAATAACACGGTATACAAATTATTTAAAATTGATCAAACGATGTTAAAAATTTGGCACAGTCTAATGTATGTATTTACAAAATCACTTTTAAAGATCGTTAAAAAAACGTTAAAGCCAAAAAAAGATATACGAATTTTTAAAATTTGGCATTTAAATAGAACGCCATAATTATTCGAAATTGTATTAAAATAATCAATTCATAATAAAATATTGATCAACAACTAATTTTTTTCAGAGATCGTTATATCTAATAAGTTAAAACACACGGGAAGTTATAGGGCAATGGAACACAATTTGGGGAAGACACATAGCTTAATATTCTACTTTGAATTTTTTTGACATGGAAAACATTTTTTTTTGAGTGGAAGACACAGTCTTGACATCTCAGAAAAAATATAAATAATTTGCGTAATTTTCACATTGTTTAAAATAGTTAAAACATTATTTGAATCGTTATTGAATGGTTTTTTTAGTTGGAGATAGATGTCCAATGCAAATGAAACCGTATAGTATGTGTGGTAATATAATTAATAATCGCTAATTATTGAGAACACATCTATATTGCGATAAATTTATTATGACTTAAAGCCGAATGATATCAAAATTCAGGTTAAAATTGTACAGTCAATAGGGTTTTTATGTACAAGTAGGTAAATATCAAAAAAAATCAAATAATATTTACTCAATATGAGCAGTCAGGTTGAGTCCATCGTATAAGATATCCTAATGAACACCGTGTTATTACTCATATATTATAATATATATTTTATATTTTGTAGTTAAAATATTGATTTCATGTAGATCTTTCTTAACTGTGTCCTAGTAAATTATATTGCCTGATTGTCTATAAGCTTAAGATTGTGTTTAAGTTAAATAACATTTTTATAGTGACATCGTTTTATTATGATTTAAAAAATCAAAACATTTATTGAAAATTATTTATATAATAATATAAGATAATTAATATATGTGTATATATTGCTCTTTGCTCAAAACATTAATGACAATATAACATTATAATATTGTCAGTTAAATCATAATGCATCGCTTTATTTAGTATTCACTATACTTTAGAATTGAATAGTAATCGTCCATTGGCCTACACAATAGAATAGTTCTATTCCATATGAATACAGGTATCTACTCCTCATACCACGAGACATTATAATATAATGTATTATTATAACACGTGTGAACTCGAAAGAAGTGTACTCGAATGATTATTAAACGTTTGGTAAATCACCGTTGATAAAACATAATATTAAAAATAATAATACAAATAACATGGTACATCGATGCGAATCGAACGTTAACAGAAACCTGTCGGGCGCTATTACGTTAAATCAATCGTGTCACGGATATAATATTATAACAGCCAATCACCACTTATGCGGTGACGGTGAATAAACATTATAGACAAATACAATGTAAATATATTATATTATGCTACTTTTATTTGTTGAGCGAAACTTATCCGGTAACTTTAGTAATCCAAATACCGGAAGTAATTTTCCAGCAGTATTGGTTGTATGCAGGGATTTGGAAGCCATGTAAATAGTTTGTGGGTTTCGTGCTGGCTGCAAATGTAGCTGCACGGGCTCAGAAGAGCAGGAACGACACGCGGGTGCGGCGGCCATCCCCTTTGCTCCTCCGCCCCATCCCAAACTGTCACATGGATCCATCCGAGCCTGATCCTCCACTCAGTTTGCCACCTTCACCTCCGGAACCAGCACCGCTACCGTCTTCGCCGCGTTCGCCGAAGGCACCGCTTCTGGCCGACAGACCTTGGAAGTCCAAGTTGTACTAAAAGAATTGTTCTAATATTAAGATATGAAGGATCTGAGTACAAGAGAACAAACGTATATCGAACGAAAATATGTGAGAGACATTTTATTACTGACTGTTTGGTAAGGGAAATAAATTTAAAATAAAGTACAACATCTGAAGAAGGTACAGATAGTATTTTTACGAGGAAAATAAAATTGATCTTTGATCGGATCTCAGATAGTTTTTAATGATTTCCTTTCATTTTATCGTATACAATATTATGAGAACAACACTTACTTTAGTAGCACATACAAAGCAGGTTGTGACTACTTTTGATATAACGTTCATTAGTGTTTTAGTTTCGTTAATCACACTATCGACTTTTGAAAATGTAGCAGATTTACCGACCGTAGGCATTTTTACTGTAAATTGCAACTGTTGTACATATGTTGGAACTTGATCCAACTGTTCCAAAAGTTCTTTTTTGTTTGCACCCATAGGAACCTAAAAAAAAATGGTTGAGTTTAAAATTAGAAAATTTGTTAACACAACTATAAACTTGTAATTTGCATTATTTGGAATTTGGATAAATAAAATTCATGAATTAATACACAATTCAGTTTTATATGAAAACGATAAGTCTAAATTATGTTATGTTTATGTAGGTACTTAAAATGTTATAGTAAAAAAGAAGAAAATGTTAATGGGAGTAGGTACTTTAAAAATCAAAAACCTATTTATGTTAACATGCTGTTAAAACTTAAACATAGTACATTAAATGTATACAATATATAATTCAGAACAATTATTATAAGAAATTCAATAATTATAATTTAGAATGTTCAATGTATCAAAAATAAGTAGGTAATATAATATAACATTTTCATTTTCAAATTCATCAAAGTACCTACAACATTTAACTAAAACTGTTTAAGCTATTAGTTAGGTACTACAGAGGTATATTATTATAATACGCAAAATTATTAGGTTAGGCGATTAAAGTATTTAGTAAACACTTAACGTACGACTTTCAACCCATTGTGGAGCATACTGCATTTAAAATAGTGGAAATTTAGCTATGAACAATATTTATGGAAATATTTTTAAATATTGTATTGCCTATATGACTGTCATCTAGTAATTTTTGAGACGATTGAAAGTTATTACTTTCATTTTCAATTCAATAGATTCTACTAAATTATAAATCTTCACTTTTGACAAAAATTATTATGTCCTAAACCTTTTTAATTTCTGCAGTAAGTACATAATATTTTATTTGGTATTTACATTTTTTTTTAACAATGTATTAACAAAAATAATAATTATATATGGCGGCCAAAAACTGTTTGAAAAACATTTACGTTTACATTTTTAACGACTAAATTTCAACTATTTTCAAAAGCATCGTTTTACTGTAGAGAGGTACACATCACGTGGTCCGTTTATCAACTGCAGCAGAACATTGTTTACCTGGTACGAAAACTGTCTGACCAATTTGTACAGCCTGTTAGCTTCCTCGGCCAGGTATTCCGCCTGTGTGAACAGATCTTGAGTGGTCCTCAGCGACGAACCACCATCTCCCTTGGTGAACTCGTACATGCTCAACGCCATGCCGGACATGTTCTTTGCCCTACGCACAATGTCGTTGTCTTCGTGTGCTTTGGTCGTGCTGCCTCGCTCGTCCACGCTGGCACCTTCCTCGATGGCCGCGTCGTCTTCCTCTCCAGCGCCCCACCTGTCCGCTTCCGTGTCTACTTCACTCGACGCCAATTTCATTTCCAGACCAGCCTTGGCGATTTGATCTTGTTCCTACGGGAAGCAAGAGTAAGATAAAAAAAATTGTAAAAGAAAAATATCTCTTCTCGACGATGGTTTTAAATTTGTATTCGATGTCTTACCGATAGATCTAGTCTCACAGACTTCAGCGGTTTTGTCGTCGTACCATGTTTCTGTAACGAATTGAAATCACTCATAAATAACCAACGGTATTTGAAATAAACATTATAAACACGAAATCCTGTAAGTATAATGTCAACTTACGCCTGGTCTGGGGAGTGACATATATGTTTGTTTTTCAGGTATTTGTTTTTCCATAATTTCTTTACACACCGTAGACACGTCTTGAGTCAAGGCTTGCCACATGTCCGCAAATACTAAAAACAAATTACATATAGGTACGTTAATATTTATGAAAAAAAACACCGATAAAAGCTTAACAAATAATTAATATCAAATATACTAATGTCGATGATCGACCTTCTAAATTTTCCTTTATGATTTTTGAACAAGGATAGTGAGCTAATGCTTGAGCAGCAGTAACGATCTGTGGTGCGTACACTCGTAAATTAACTTCGGCGTGTTTCGCAGAAACCTGAAGTGATTCTGCAGTTGCAATGTGTCTCAGTACTTTACAAATCTGAAATCAAGACACAATATTTATGTTAAGATGTCTTACTAGTTATTACATTTTTCATTTTTTTACTTCTCCGATTTGGTCTACGACTTCAACGAATTGATCGCCGTACTTGTTAAGACTGTCGACGTCTCCATCGGAAGACGTAGTCTGTATGCACGTTACGAGGTCATAGCCAGTCCTAATTATTAAAGGTAAGTCATGCGATTGTTCTTTACACGTCGCTATCAGCTGCAGTCTGAGTTCTTTGGTGGCGTCGAGGCACTGGTTTACGGCCACTTCCAGCGATTTCGTAGGTGAGTATTCGTCACACTGTTCCTAAAAAAATTCCAAACAAACAACGTTGTTTAAGATAGTAATATCCATATCCTCGGAATCACAGCATCGTGATTGTAATGTATCATATATTATGATAGTTTTAAAATTAAATTAGAATTAGTACATCATAGATTTTAAATTTATACGGTTTCGATCCAATTATTAATATTATTCATGGTACAACGTTCATCCAATTACGCATAAAAACAAAGTCAAAGAATTACTACAAGGGTTTCGTTGAAAAATTTAACTGGTGTATATGCAATATAATTCGTTTAAATGTTTTCGGAATTACACAAGACATTGAACATAGTATATATTATAAGTATAAAACTCGGAAGCGCAGAACTAAGATATATATGCACCTATCGAGGTTTGAGATTATAAAACGTATCAATAAAGTTTTTTTTTTATAACATCGGCCATATTTTTAAGTACACTTGAGATATTTTTAAAATTAAGTTGTTCTCTAAATTAGTTTATAGTTATAATACAGTTTATTTACTTTTTTTTGGTCCATAACTTGTTATCAAAACAAAAGTTAGTATTGGTAAACGTATACAGTTATGATATGACACGGCTGATATTTGTTCAAACTTTACGAAAATAGTTTTATTAATTTAAAATATTGACTAAGTAAACCTAAAAATAATAATAACACAAAATATATTTTAGAGTAAGAATTATTACTCTGTTCCATTATATTATGAAACATAAAATTCGATTTAAAACTGACTTTGTGAAAACATTATACATATAATACTAAAATTATCATGTACCGTTTATAATATAATCAATATCATACCTATGCATCATAACCAGTATGATGTTTTGTTCAATAAAAACAAAACTTCACACCATCATCTATCATATTTTTGACAGTATATTTAATGAAGGATTATACATTTTTGAAAAAGTGTTTATATTTTCATGTATAACGAACCTAAAAACAAGAAAGTTTTTCATACACTGAACTTTACTCTTCACCTTGAAAACATGACATTTTTAACATTCCTGTACCTACAATCTACAATATAACTTTAGCAGTTTACATCAAACTTTACCATAGTTTAAAAAGTTTTATTAATACAATAATTATAATAATGAACAGTTATTAAATTTGTAAGAAAAAAATATCCAAATTTTTTGTTATCAATTATCTAAGTTAAATTATATTGCTATAAAATAAAGTCCAGACTGCCAGTATAAAATAACTATAATATTACTAAAATAGAATTAGGTACCTATAGCAACTTCATATATTGTTATGCTCAGATCTTTGTTTATGTTTCTTTAAGTTCAAAAGAGCTTTGCTTCAAGTAATAACGTTCGCAGATTTATATTTCAGATAGAGTTCTTTTTTTTAACAAAGACTACAGGTTTCAGTGTTTTCAACCAAAAAAAAAAAAATAGATTACACTATCTAATCTACTATAGACTGTCCACTGGGATCACTAGGATTCCGTTACAAGTTTACATGTTTTATGACATTTTCAACCAAGGCAATTACCAACCACGTATATGATAATCAAATTTTAAAAATGATTTTCATTGGATTTTTATGTCTCTGTCAGAGTTTAATTTCTAAATTCCTTCAATATTTTATAGTTTCTTGTCGCTCATTGAGATCGATTAAAATACACATAAGTTCGGAAACTATATTCTCTGCTATTAATTTTTTTCAATTTACTGACTATAATAATTATCAGTCTTATGTGATTAGAAAATATGACATAAAACAGAATGAACTTGTGAGGAGAACAAAATCATTCAATCAGTACAATATTATTACGTACCTATATTACATTGGTACAATTTATTGTTCGCCTTTACGTCAATATCGACTTTGTGTGTGAGTGTGTGTATTGTGTGTTGTAAGTATTTTCAACAGAGACAAAATGTAATATTATAAAAAAAAAACAGATGTAATATATTTTTATGTACGTGCATCGTGTAGGTATGTGTGAATACAGCTATTATTTATATATAGTAGTACATACATATTGTATTTACAGACAGTGTCTTATCCGGTTCAATCGTCACGGTATTTTTTTTCATTATTATTTGACCGAGTTCTGTGCAACTGACATAAAAGCGCCACATAATAAATATAATAATATATCGATTTATTACTATTCTAACATCGGACACAATATTCGTTGTAGAATTTATTTTTATTTTTTTGTTGTTTTGTTTTGATTAATGAATCAAAATGCTGTTTTAATCATTTAAAACGTTTAACAGCCAAAAATGATTTATTACTATTGTTATATTATTATTATCATCATCGTTGTGCATTTTCTCGTCATTGTTATTATCGTTTTACATTCTCTTGACTCAAACAAATGTCGATATCACGGCGGTGCGCCAATTGACGCACGCACACCTATACTATTATAATACATATATACATCATTATATTATATACTTGTTGCCCGTACCGCATTGAATAAACATTTTAGCTCGGCGCACTCAAACAACACTCGACCCTTTCATTTTTTTCGCAGCCCCTCACCGGCGTTTTAACCGCGGTAACCATATTCTCCACCAGATCATCGAGTAGGTTAGGCGAATTTAAAAAAGATTACAATTTGGCAAAATTTGTACTTGGCACGAATAATGTTTCGACGGAATGAGGCAAAAAAGTACAAAGTTATTCTTCTATGAAACAATAACTATAATATTAAAATATTTTGATATTTTTTTAAACACGTCTTGCCTTTGTCTTGTTATAAGATACTATATAATTATTATTGTTTTAATAAAAACACTGTCAATTTCTTATCAGCTTGTAACCCAGTACCTACATAGTTGTTATTGATTTATGTGCTGGCAATAAAAATTAAACGGGACAAGATCATAGGACTAAAAAGTAAACTGTCAAATCCAAAAGGGCCACGAAAAACTTTTTTATGTTTAATTTTATTTTTGTGAGTAGGGGTTTCTGAATTTTAATTGTTGTATTTAAGACGTGACTGAGTTCTTAGCAGCGTTTTAAATTTAATTATATTCACATAGAAATACTTAAATGTTATTTTCATATACGTCTATTTTTTTTTTTTTGCTACGAAACTATTACAATATTATGATTTTTTTTTTTTTATTAATGCTTTTTTACTATTATTATTTATTTAATTTTTATAGTCATACACAATAATATTATATAATCTAACCAACTGGCAACTACCTATTATATATTTTTAATGCGTGTTTAAGCTTCATACTCTTATTTAAAATTCTGTACATCAAATACGAACGATGTGAATAATATGTTTTTTTTATTCCATTAACATTTTTAGACAAAAACTTATAATCCTACTTAAATACGTGAACGGAAAGACTAAAATAAAATATTAAGAATATCATCGTTTAGTTATCTAGTAAGTAGGTATATATTATATATTCATATATATTATAGAATTGTGTAGTTATCAAAGTTAAAAATAATATTGTAATAGTTTTTAAATGCATACCTATCCATTAAAAGAGTATTAAATACCCATGGATTTTTTTCCTCAGTCTACATACGACATAGAAAATGTTCGTTTACTAGTTTCAATAGTGTGCAGTTAGTTTTGATATTAGAGTGAATTGAAAAATTATCAAACATTTAGTTAAGAACATTCTATGTGCCTAAGCGTCGTACATTTTTCGGTATTTTAATTTTTAATTTTTGATATTTCACACACTCATATCTTGCTTGAAAATTAAAATATCAAGAAATATCTGACACTCAAGCAATAAGCATAGATTATGTTCTTAAATAAAAGTTTGATAATTGGTAAATTCACTCTAATATCATCATAACTAACAGCACACTATATTGAAACTAGTGAACTAAAATTTGCCGTACGTGTGTAAGACGGAGACACCAAATGCATGGCTATCACCTTACGGAACAAATAAAAATATTATATGCACGATTGAAACAAAAAAATTAAATTAAGGAATGTTACCATGTTACCTACAATTTTTCATTTCTTATGTATATGATGAATTTATCATAAAAATAATACCGTAATATTATTCTACCCGGTAATCGCTTACATATTATCTATATATGTGGTTAAATTATCAAAGAGGTGGATAGATAGAATTTCAACTATTAACAAATTCAATATTCGGTGGAATATCGAATACAAAAAACGATTTCAATTTAAATCCATACAGTGTCTAGAGGTTGGCAATGATAGAGTAGTTAAATTATAATGAGGATAATGTGTATAGTTGTGACTTGTGTTCATTCATTATTGATGTGTGCCTGAGTGGATGAATGGTTGTTCACGTAGTAAGAGGGATGTCTATCCTACATACGGATGATATACCGTACATTTAATTGACCAGTGTCAGACGAACCAAACCAATCTTAAAACTCCTGTCTTATTATTCTTGGTGGTATGCTATGATTAATAATTTAATGCATATTCGTTGATCAAAATAGAAAAATTCAAAATTAACGTAAACACCTAGTTAAATATATCAAGTATATATTTTAATTGGGTAGGTACCTACAGTTTATAATAAATGAAAATTCATGCTCAACTTTCAAAAGTTAAAAAAACATAACTCTAGTTTTATACAAGACTTTTATGACTTATTTTAGAGGTTTTATATTATGATGTAATGAACTATGAAGTAATAAAGTATTTTGCTGTTTGTATGGATGTATTTGTGTCACAGCGTATAAACTATCTGATCCAAACTTATGAACAACCAATGTATCCCTTTTAAAAAGTCAGTAACTTTATCCTAAATACCTTTTGAAAAGCTTTAAACTACATGAATAGAAAAACAGATATATTTTATAACTAGCTGATCCCGTGCACTTCGTCGCCCGTTAAATGGATCAACTCAATACTACCTAACTAACTTTGTTCAATTCATTAACGTGTATGTGTTCAAAATTTATCTTATCTTTCCCGTTGCCCTGAATAAAAATTCTGAGTCGCAGCAGTACATTATCAGGTAGGCAATCTACCTGCGGTAGATCGCGGACCCCGTGCTGTTTGTACGGAAGTGTATGATTTACCTCTAAAGTATCAAAGGTTATACCAAGGTTTATTTTGATGAATACTTTGATTATATAATAAATTTTAGTTGCTCGTAAAAAATCGCAACTCTTAAAAAAATTATGATTGTTGAACTCCTTTTGGGTGTAATTTTCTGCGGTAAGTGCAACTCTGCCACCCTGGTAAGCATTGTTCAATAATTCGATTTGATGCAAGCTTGTACCTGATCTGCCCGAATAACCAATGGCAACCAATAAATAAATGCTAATTTCTAATGTAGACTGTAACCAATGGCAACTATAAATAAATAAAAATAAAATTTCCAATTTCTATCGTGAATCTCAATGTCCCTGTTTCAGCACCTATTTAAAATGCGAATTTTGGCAAATCCTTTCTTAGCGCACGTCTATATTATAATAGCTATCTGTATGCCAAATTTCAGCCAGATCCGTCCAATGGTTTGAGCTGTGCGTTGATAGCAGTCAATCAGCTTACTGTTTTTTATATACAGATATGGTTGCCATGGTAATATGGACACACACACACACACACACACTGACATACATTCATTTTTATATATATAGATATAGATTGATATGAAATCTTGGTAACCTTAGTAACCATGGCAACCTTGGTAACCATGGTAACATGGACACACAGACACACAGACACACTGACACACTGACATACATTCATTTTTATATATATAGATAAAAGAGTGAGTGGGTTTTAAGAGCTACTTTCCATTAGAGATTGTTTATTATGCTTAAAACGATTAAAAAAATTGTTAAATCCCGAATTTAAATATAAGTTCAATCATATAGTTAAATTAACTATCTAAAAATTAGCCAATATCATACCAATATAATAAAACTAATATTATTAAATTATATTCGATGTTTCGACAATTCGTATTCGTATACCTAGTTACTTACTAGTTACAAGCTAAAAACTAAAAAGTGTTTACCTATCTACCTGCTAGTAATATTTATACATACACACAATTTTACAGTTAAATTTCGATGTCTAGAATTTTTTTGTTTTAAAGAATTTAAAAAAAAAATTTAAAATACCTACATTTATTTAACTCAATGTCTCAATAGTTTTTAATATTAGTACATTCTTAAGTTGACCTTATCGTTGGTGGTTTATACTTCAAGTTCAGTATAAATGTATACATTAAGCACGTTTATTATATAGACATATAGGTAGTATAAAGTATGTGTTTATGCATGTGTGAATAATATTTGGAAGCAAAAAATGTTGTTCTTGTATATAGTAAATTTTTAAAAAGTTTAAAACCATAATACATTTTATTAAAATTGAAGTCTCAGACATTACCTCGTTGTTAAATGTATTCAATTATTTTACATAACTATAACCTATTAGTTAAAAATATTTTATCTTAAAGTATTTTTTTATGCAAATAAGATTATTGATGTTAATAAAATATAATATATATATATGTGTATTATGTATATATTATTGTTGTGTGTTATGTAGGTAGGTATAATTGTTAAAATTTGTAGCTTGCAAGACGCAAGTATTAAATAAATAATAATTACTTTCATGAGTTAATTTATTTTGTATAGGAACTATACTTATAGAGTTTCTTCTTCGTCGTTCTAGTTTATATGAAGTCTTTTTCTATATGTGTCTAAGTTCAAATCACGTGAAAAGTTCTTTACATTTACATGAAGTGTCCATATTTCGTGTTGACGTGACGCTCAAAGTGATTTGAAAAGTGTTCGTTAGCGTGTTTTACATTGTCTATCTGAGATGCAATATTATGTTTAATTTTATATTTTTTATGCGCTGTGTGCTACTTTTGAATTTTTTTTAAATAAAAATCAAACCTATTTAAATAAAACTTTTTAGTTACACTTAGACATGTAACAAACAAATCAACCTTGCAAAATACGTTTTGTACATTTTGTGATAATAGTAATAATAGTGTAAAACTAATAAAATAAATTATTAAATGCCCATGGTGACTTTTACGCATTAATCTATTATAATAATAACATGACGCGTATATGGTAGAAACCGCGCACGGTTTAATAAAGTAATAATGTTTCTAGAAACTGTGTGGGCCGTTTACCTACTTCATGACGTAATCATTGATATAAAAATTTATTGATGGTACCGGGTAACGGAAACTACATACATTTTAAAACGGATACTGAAATTTTAATCGTTATCTTCGTGATTAGTTCGTCTTGTATATGCTTCAAATACAACTCACCAGTCTAGCTCCGGCTCTAATCAATTGATCGAGATGCGTCTTGACACGATCGCACAGTGTCAATATATTTTCCCGGTGCTCGTGTCTGGTGTACGCGCTGTCGGTGAAGTCTTGCGTACGTTCCATGATCACGTCCATGGTGCGCAATAGCGTTTCCTTCTCGCTCAGCACGAGTGTCAGCCTGTGGGACACAAACACAGATAATAAGTACATTATAATATTCGTAATACAAGTGTTGTATACATAAAATATATGAATATAATATGATGTAAAGGCACGCAATTGTTAACAACCCACGGCGACGGTAATCGCGGGCAGGAGCGAGTCGGCAGAGGGTAGATCGTCGGACAAATCGTTTTTTAATGAGCCCCGCAGCTATACAATATAATAGTATATACATTATACACGACACCTCGAATTGACGATATAGTGTTTGACAGTTTCCATTCTATGGGAGCGGCGGATTTATACGAACAAAAAAATGTAAAATGCGTAGCTAAAGTAAATGGATCGCGAAAGACAAATGAGTCGGACATCGAATTGGAGTGGAAAAATAAGCGATAAAGTCGCAAATCCTGCAAATCGTCACTGTCGTTATACAATGCGCGTTTATGAAATAAAAATATGCGTCCCGAGCATTTAAACTGACACGAGTGAATAATATTTTCAAGATGCGCATTTACCACCGGCAAGTGGCAATTATAGAATACAATATTTCATAAGAATATAGTAATATAATTGCTATGTCGGTGAAATATTATAGGTACCTATAATATAATAATATAGCAGGTATCCATTAGTGGCGTGCTCAGGAATTTTGGATGGGGGTTGGTTAAACATTTTTTTTCAAACAAAATATTTGTTAATTTTAGTGTTATAAATCTAGTTTAGCGCTAACGAAAATTCAATATTTTTGTTGGAAGTCTATAAGTATTACAACAAATTAAGAACGATGGTGCAAAATCAATTTTCAGAAATCATTATTTTTTATGATAGAGCCTTACGAAATTCACGATTTTCAGTGTCTTATGCAAACTCACAACGCACAATTAGTTTGACAAGCTTATAACGATTTTTCAATTATTTTTTTTGATACCTAGGTAAATCAACGTTTTAATAATTACTTTTTGTAAATTCTGACACCCACCTATGGGGGATTTACATAGGTTACAAGTCGAGGGATGTTTTTGATTTTAAGTGTCCGAGCGAACGTAGTGAGCTAAATTCACTTTGGGTGAATATGAAAATAACCAAAAATTTAAATTAGCTATAACTTTAAAATAAATCTGACAGCCAAATTCAGACTTCCCCATCATTTTCATCATGCTTAACTATACATGGGTACGTTAAAACAAAAAAAATTGATAAAAAGGTTGTTCAGTAAAACAGAAAAGTTCCAAACACACGATAAAATATTGCATTGTACGAATGCGTACAACACCGAAAATCCTGAACTTTTTAAAGCTATAACTTAAAAACTATTAATATCTGGCAATTCATTTTTGTAACATTGTTCTTAACTCGTTTTATTACACAAGTTACAGAAAAAAAAATTTAAAAATTAGAGTGGGCACTGAACTAGATTTGTTCCCAATAAATTATTATAATTAAGTACATAATATTATATTACATTCATAAAGTGTCCATGGTGGGGAGGTTGAACCTTTTAAACCCCCCCTTGAGCATGCCCATGGGTATCCATAACTACCAACTACCTGTCTCATAATATGCATTTGTTTTCGGCTAGTGTGTAAACGTTTAGTGTGTACTTTTAATGGATTTTCCACCAAGGACTGTGCACTAACCTACCTACCTACCTACCCGAGCTTCTATATATAAATATAAATAATGTAGTCCTAGAATAGTTCTAAATACGGGCTCGGTGATTATCTGCTGAATTTGGGGTGGTGTGGACTTAACTCTCGTGAGTAGAACGGCTGCCGTATCAAATTATCCTTGATGTCAGACAAAACTAGAGGATTATAGTAGCAAACCTTGAAATTAGGATCAGAAACTTCAGTAGTAGTTTTAGTACAGTTAAGTCAGCTATAAGGATTAGGTACTTCATTTAACAAACGTCACTGAATGGTGTATACTTTATAATACATAATTAAGGGTGTGCAGTAAAAAGCCGAAGAAAATCTTGGTGTCTCATCTAAATAATCTTTTAATTCAAATGATATATTATGTCAACATGATGCTAAATTAAATAGTAGACTATTTTTGTAAGCATTACGATCAAATACTAATAATAAAAAGCGGAACCAAATTCTCAAAGGCACAAACAAATGTTCCTACAATCCTACTTGATGAGCTAAGCTGATAATATTATTTATTCTTATAATGATGTATTATGTGTGGTGTGTAGTCAGTGCCGTCACTAGGCTACTTGAGGCCTGTGTGCAAAACCAAAATATTGAGGCCCCTTATTATCTTTTTCAATACACACCTCAAAAACTTTTTTTGCAATTTTTTAAGTCAGCAGGCAAAAATTCGCGAATTTAACCGTTAAACAAAAAAAAAAATTTTAATTTAAAATAATCTATAATTTTAAAACAATTTCTCAATGACTAACTCAAAAAAGTAAAAATTTTCCAAAATGTAAATTATTGAAAATATTAATATAAATATTTGGTGAAAACTTCAATGGTCTACAGTTACCAATTAGTTTTCGAGTTATACCAAAAAATAAAATTTTTGTTTTAGGTAAAAATGAATTTTTTTTTTTTTATTGACGCTTTTTTATATCTAAAACTAAAAATTTCGGTTTCGATCTCCAAAAAGTACCAACTAGATTCACTTTTCTAACAGAAAAAATGCTGATCTCGAAATTCGGAATATTTTTACTACCCAATATTGATGACCGACAGAAATGAAAAAAATTATACACATCTTGTAAAATCAATAAATTTGTTCGTTCCTCTCAAAATCTAAAAACAGTGATCACGACTCGATGCTATATAAAAAAAATGAAATAACATTGGTTTCGTTTCCAAATCAATAATAAATAATTTATATATTTTAATAATTTTATATTAGTTTAATATTAGTCTTTAGATATTTTGAGGCCCGAGGCCTGTGTGCGGTGCACACTTTGCACACCCGGTATTTATGGCACTGTGTGTAGTATGTACTATGATTTGAGAACCACAAGAACATTTTTCAAACTAGACATTATTTACCTATTTTAGTCTTGAGAATATTTTATGACCAAAATAAATTCTTCCAGACAACTAAATACATATTAAAGCTACATAAAACATAACATAATATATTATACTCTGTTTATTATGTAAGTAATAAGTATACAGAAATATAATTTGAATCTATGTAATATAATGCACCTATTCATATATATACTATGCAGTAGGTATGCACATAAATATTTGCACTTTTATGTAATGCACAATACATATATTTTTTTAAATATTTAATGTAAATATTAGTAAATTATTTACTTTATTATTTTTCACACAACGCATATATATAATATATATATATATATATATCTACAACTTAATTTATAGCTAATCTTAAAATGAATTTGAATATCATTAGGTGATAATATACAAATTTAAATAAGACGATGATAACACTTAAGTGAGACTGTAAAATTAAATTATTTATGAGAAGGTAAGTTAATTTATATATTTTATATAAATCAAAAAACAATTTTTTGTTTACGAAAGTTGTTATCACTTATCAGTTTACCTAAAATTGCATTGTGAAATCATGTCTATACTCTGTTCAGGTTAAGAGTGCTCAAATTCACTCATAAATACTGAGCCACGTAGCAAGGTGCATGTTCGAACAGTATCTACTAGTTTTCGTCCAAGCGACTCTGCACTCTTAACCTGAACAGAGTATAGATATACCTATATTACCTATACCTACATATTAACTCCCACAGTAATCACGAGTTATGTTATCTATACACAAATAAAAAAATTCTTAAGGGGTTTTTTAATCACTCGAATTTAAAAATGCTTAAAAATATACCATACTTAATATTAACTACACATAACACACTGTATAGTAATATTTATGCATATACTATATCTACCTACTACCTACATATAATTTTGTTTAAGACATTATGGTTAAAACCATTCTTTATTATAACTATATTATTTTCTTGACCAACACTCGACGTCTATGGTTTTCAAAAATAAAGTAAACCTCAAGAAATATTAAATTCTTGGCATAACATTGGCAATTTTATTGTTTGATCATATTATAGATATATAAGTTTGCGATACCTATGTATAATTGAGATGTATATATAATATATTACGGTGATTATAGGTACACCTTAAATGCTCAAATTCGTTCATAATATATTTAGATATAAAATTACATTGATAATGTATAAAAGTACAAGATGCGCTTGTAGCAAAACTTAAAAGACGATAATTGTCTCTTACTGCAATCAAAATCTCATTTTATGTTAGCCAAAATATAAAATGAATTTAAACATAATAATAATAATACCAGTATAGTTTCCACAACTGAACGTCCACCTAACAACTTCTAGAGAGCCGCAGTATACTCGGGCCTAATAATATATGACTATATAATATATATAGCTACTACCGAGTACCGACCGTGGAGTGAGCGCACAACAACAAATTTTAGGACGCGTTTGCATTGTGTTTATAGAAATATAGCGACTCGGCGCCCTCCGCCCACCTACGTTACGCTAACGCCCACTGTTGTATTATTATCATTATCATCATTATTATTATTATTATTATTTTTATAATTAAATCGCACTAAATATATACCTCGTCATGTCGACAAACGAGTCCAGGACGTTGAGCGCGTGGCCAAGTGTGTCGCCACCGTCTTGTTCCGATGTGTACGGTGTCAGGGCCATGGACTCACCACCACTCTCCTTCACGCCATCTTTGACCACGTAATGGATCAGGTCCATGGCCCTGCGCATCTGGCAAAACACCGTGTCCCGGTTTTGGCTGGCCTCCGAGCTGTCCGGGTGCCTCAGACACGCCTGTAACACACACACACACTCGTGTAATATATTATATTATAAAATATCGTAGGTACGTCTTGAGCGACTTTTACATTCTGACATTCTGTAGGTATAGGTGTACACTTATAAAGGATACTATTAGGATTCACCCGTCGTAACTCGTATTGTACATAAATATATAATAAGCTCTGAATAAAATAATAAATGTTATATATTTACCTGTTATTTATATAAGATCTAGGGTGGTGGGTCCTCCAGGATAAAGTTATGAGACGACCAATGGCTATGTGTATCGGGATGGAGGGGAACCGGGAAAAATGAAAATAGTTTATACTTTATACGCTATAATCGCTATAATACACATGCATGGTCACATTACATTTTCATTATGTTTTTTACCTACATCTCGAAGGATATGGCTTTTATCATAAAAACTGTAGTACGATGGAAACATTTATAATGCTTAAAATGTCAGTTATACCTTATTAAAAATGTAATCAATGTAGAAGTGCAAAACCCAAATACTCCCGTAGAATGCGACGATCACCACGATAACACCTCACATCGTTTCGACCACTGATCTCAAAATATTAAGTATACAATTAGGGTTTTGTTCAAGTTCAACGTCTGCGAAGGAAAATTATTCGACATACAACAGAAGTTATTATAGTTACAACCGATGTAACTGACATAAAAACATGGGCAAATGGGCCATTTTTGGCCTACGGGGAAATTTTAAAAAGGGCCCTTTACATGAAAAAAAATCCGTCAAGGAGTCATTGCGTACGTCAGACCTTAAAAAAATGGCCCCTTTCTCAAATACGGAGTGGCGGCCAACCGGGAAATTCTTGGCTTCCAGGTAGCCTTATATAAAAACTATGCATAGTTCAAACTGTCATGCATATAATGCGATATAATATCAAACCTACTACCTATAGATGATTATATTACGTAGGTATAGGTGGTACTCAATATTGGTTATTCGTTTTATATAATAAGTATTATGGTTATTGGGGTTACATATAGGGTTGTTGGCCCTGTTAAATATTGTCTCGTTTCAGCTTTTGCCTTTCAATCACCAATAGGTGCTTGATTGTCTTGAAAATTATACTTCTGTAGTACTATGTATTGGTATCTATACCCGTGATTTCGTTAAGAGAAAATATAGGCTCACAATGTTGATTAAATATAGTATAAATATAAATATTACCTATGTATTAACTATATTTTATATTCTTAAATAGGCTCTCTACTCTCTAGTATTATCCATTGAAAATAAATAATATAACGAGCTGTATGCATTTCTCTTCAGATATGGTTTAAAGATAAAATTTCCGATTATAAAATATAGGTACCTGCAGCTTCTAATGAATGTCCCAACGAACATAACCGTTCGGAGACGGTCACTCGCATAACCAAGGGGCAATCATGGCTGTAATTATGGGGGGGGGGTTAATTTTTGCCCCCATATGAAATTGTTTAATTTATAATATACATTTTGACATTAAGCTTCTTAATGATCTGTTTTATTATAATTTATATTATACTGCACCTTAACTAAATTTTTGTTTTGTTCACCTAAAATTATTTGTACATTATCTAATAGCAACCCTTTCAACGATTAACGATGAATATCTCTAAAATTAATTATAAATTCATCAACCGATAAACATTAAAAAAACCTAACCTAACCAAATGAATAATTTGTATTTTGTTACCATTCCCGGGTGTTAATATTCTCAGACCCGGCCCTGGTGGTGTTACACCACCTATTATAATTGGTCCGTACACTAAAGCGTATGATATACTCACGCCTACACGGTACCACTTCGGCACTTTAACTATACGCATTATTGTCGTATACGATTTGGCGTACTCACCTTGGACGAAGTCAACAGCAGCATGGTAGACCGCTCGAGTACCTGTCGGGCCGCGGCAATCTGAGACCGCCGCCGTTCGTCTTTCAGGTCGTTTTGCCGTTCGCCCGTCAAGTGAGCCAGCTCCACCATTTCGGTGCCAAAGTGACTGAAAGCCTTGACAAACTCCGTAAAGTTGTTGACGCCTTCCAACCGACCCAGACTTCGTGACACCTTTATAAAATGTAAAAAAAAACGTCCCCGGTTTAGACATTCTCGTTGTAATATATTGTTATTATAGGTATACCCATAACAATCTACGTAATGCATATTGGCTGTCTATTAGATTTTGCTGTATCTGTAATGTTAAATTATTGCAGCGGTTTGTTTGATTCTTAATACCGGTATACTATTCATATATAGCCACATACACATACAATAATTGTATACATATTGTTAGAATAAAATACATTTTATTTTTGAAAAAAATGTTTTCATATGCATTATTCTATAAAAATGAAATGACCTTTGTCCACTATATTACTAACGTAAATAATAATGGAAAAAAAACTCAAACAGTAATTTAATTACACGTCGGATTTAAAAGATGGTAAGTGTAATATATTTCACACGAAATCACAATTTATACAGTATTATTAAAATTTATTATCACCGTTATTTGGTTTAAGTACGTTTCGTTATTTAATTTTTGTTTTTATTTGAATACATAATTATATACAATATATTTACATATTTTTTTTTTAAATAATTGCTTCAACTAAATTGAACCCAAAATATTTCTGACTGTATTTACTTAAACTCAAACAATAATTTCTGTAAAAATATTATGATAGTTATTAAACTAATGATATTCAATTAATGTTCATAAATTATACAGTTTTCAAGTTACTATAAATATTTCTATTCATTTATGAGTACAGTACTAGTGGAATTGAGTGGAAAACATTTTATAAAGATAATATAAAATTAATGTTTTAAAAGAACTTCTGAAGAATAAAAATTCTGAAAATCACCGTTTATAAAATCGGTGTATTAACATTGGATAGTTATGATTATTTTTTATTTAAATAGGTATCTAATTGTTTAAATAACATACTCGAGATAATGTACATACAAATTGAATTAATATTAAAACATTTCAAAACCGGTGACAACTGACAATTTTAACTACGTCGACATATCATACCTAGAATCGACAACAGAAACGTAGATATTTCTGAATCTCATATATCTATAAATAAGTAGGAACCTGGGTAATGACTAAATTAATGACAATTGGAAAGTGATATTAAACTTAAGGTGTAAGTGTGTAACATCACATGGTTTCATATAAATAGTCTGTATTAATCTATAGCTAAAATATATATAGTTTAAAATAAAAATGTATAGTATTACCTATATAGTATTACCCTACCGATTATTATAATATACTGTCACATTAAACCATAATATGACTCCCTCTATTGACTATTATCCGGATTAACATGGGTTGAAATTAAGTCCTTGCAAAGGGGGACGGATGTAATATTTGTACCTTCATTATAAATAGATACATATAATAGTATTCTGTATTTTTCATTTTAATACAGTTAAATGTTTGTACAGTTTATGCCTTTATGGTTTCGAAAATTAAAGGTCGTAATTACAATGTCAAATAAAATCGACTCAACATACTTAGTCAATTTATAGCTGGGATACGCTTATCCAAATTTAATTATACTAATAAAAAAATAAACATGTTACAAAATCTCAATACAGTATTAAAATATATAAAATAATTTAATACTGAAATATTGAAATATTTTAATTAAATCAATAATTTATGATTTTGTATTATTATTGTTCTAAATTAATAATCAGCATCTTTAAATTATTTTAGGTTATGAGAGGAGCAAAAAGAAAATTGTTAGTGTAAATCCAGAATTTGATGAGCGTCTGAAGTTCGAATTTTGACAAAACTCGTCAAAATCACGAAAATTATTTTGAGTTAGAAATTAATAAAAAAAAATGTTTACATCTAAGATTTGAAAATGTATTATAATATTCCTTATAATTTTGTCAACCTCTAAAAAAAAAAAAATGCATACCTATATTTTTATTTATCACATTCTATAGACACAATGATATTTTTAAATGCAATGTTTTCGGAAAAAATCAATTCAACCTACTGTAAAAGTGTAAACCTACTAGCAAAATAAATTACTTTCATAGCAATAATATCATAAAATATACTTAATGATTAGGTTAATTGACCAGTATTAGATCAGCACTGTTCGTACTATACCTACTATGATTTTATATCATTAAATTCAAATTGAACACATCCATTACACGGTAACCCACTAGATAACTAATGTACAGGGGAGTGGTACCCACTTGCCGAGGTACACTCGATACCTACTATAACCTGAAGAGCAACTTCACCGGGTTTTTTTTTTTAATCTGCAAAACCTACCACCCAAACATGATTTTCAATTATTGATATTATAATAGTATTTTTGCAACTTGACAATATTATATAAGGCATAAGGGTGTAAAAACTAAAAATATAGTAAAATTTGATTATATAAAAAATCGTCTTTATCTTATAATAAAAAGGGTTACTCTTCTATAGAGATTAATAATTCATATACAGTCTATTGTAGTATAATATATAGAACAACGAATAATACTTTGTTAACTAAAAATTATGATAACATTTTAATTAAATTTATCAAATTCCTTCACAATTCACAATTTTAATATAATATGTTATTAAAATATTAAAATATTAAAAAAATGTAGGTATAGAAGTGTTCATAAATTATCATGTGTTATTGTGGTGATAACTTTTAGGTGTAGCACTTATACGTAATAAGTCCTCTAATTAGTAATTGTATTATATTTAATGAAGTTAATAAGTGTTCAATGGCACATAATAATATAATTTCCCACATAATTAATAATTCTAGAGTGGGAACTCTTTTATGTTAACATTTGAGACATCTATATACTGGATATGAGTGAACAATTATTAAGTGAAAAGACAATATTGAGTTATATATATCATTAAAAATTTTTAGATCTAATTAGTCGTCTACTCGTCTACGCATGTTGAGTATTATGATCAAAATTCTATATAATTTATTGAAAAGTATACCCCAACTATGGATCCTGTTAAAAAACCAACCGTAATATTGGTACCTTATTATAGTCTGTAAATCTATTAGTTATTACCTAAACAAATATTATTTTGAACGTTTAAATAAAATATCTTTGACATGCATACCTTGTCTTTGACTGAAATTAATTGCTTTACGACGACTACATCGGCTAATAATAACACTCTAGTGACTGAACTCAACAAGCATCGGGCAGCTCTTATCACAGATGCTCGATCATTGATCGAATCTTCAAACACAGCTTCGCATAGTTTTTCGATGGAAGCACCTGCGAAAAACACATTCAAGTTAATGCGGTTATTGTTTTAATCAGTTAATGTAAATACTAAATACTATACATAGGTACAGTGGCCTTTGATTTAATAATGCAACGCGTAAACCAAGATAGATATACAGTTGGAAATACTTGGGAGTATAGTAGGTACATTAAGTCACTATTCTATTAAGTTCCTATCCCACGTGTTCGTAAGTGTAAATGTGTTATACATATGTATATCCGTATAGGTAGTATCATTGATTATAAATACTATTTAATAAATAAATAATTAATAATTAAATAATAAAAAAAAATGAATAAAAAAAAAATAAATATTATTTATGATCAAGGGAAATATATAATATTTCTCCTTTTACTGGCTGCTCTTATAATTTGTTCTCTTCTTTGTTCGAAACAATAATGTGTATAAATAATACGTATTTGAGTATTGCTGATAATAAGTTTAAACCAACAATATAATATACTTACGCTCGTTCATTATTAAAGTTTTTCAAAATGTAAATTAACTGGAAATTTTGCTGTTAAAAATTATCTTATATTACCTATATACAACTGTAATCCTATGTAGTAAGTAGGTACATATTTTATTATACGAAATTACTAATTATTAATACGACCATCATACTATAAAAATCATAATGATATACTTTAAAAACTATTAGACAGGATTTTTACTGTAAAAATTATACTGCGTTTATTTTTTTTATACCTTAAGTAAACCAGAGATTAAGAAATTGAATTATAATGAGCTTATAAAACTGAATTAAAAATTATGATAAAACTTAAGACCCTGGGGAAGATTAATAAATATTCTTTCCGCCCGAAAATTCACAAATGCACATAAATATGTATTAAATAAATAAAACATTACACAGCCCTATTCTGAACATAAATTTATTAACTGTTACCTCAATATTTTTCAACCTCGTTAATGAATTTATGATAATATTGTACATATTATTTTGTTAACTTAAAATTAAAAATAGACATACTACTAAATATTAGGTAATTATACTAAATATAGGTACTTGATGCTTATTAAACATATACTACATTTAACGGCTTTTGTAAGAAATACAATGACTAAAATTATATTAATAAAAGTTTTTATTTTGAAATAAAAATAGAGATGTTAGTTGTTAGTTTAGTTGTTACTAAGTAGTAAGTGTACAAGTTTCAAAAAGTAAATTACTTATAATTTATATTACATTTAGTTTGAACAATACCTACGTGAAAAGTTATTTTCTACATGACCTTAAAATTATCAAATAATCATCATAAGTAGTCAAACATAATAAAATGTATGCCAGCGAAATACAATAAAAGCTTTGGCCCTTTATTCGCGACCTATAGGTACCTACCTGGGTTTTTTTTTTAATATACAAATGACTTGTAGTTCCGGACATCAATGATTTATTACTCGAGAATTACAATACGTATAGTTATATTCATATAGCTGTTGTAGATACATTCAATTTATATGCTATCATTATATTAATTTAACATACCTAATATTATGTATCCAACATATTTCAATATTCAAAAGTTTTAAAACGGTTAACTTTAAAAATCTTCTAGGAATTTATTTAATAATTTACAGGGTCTTTGCAATGTTTTTGCTATAAAAAGGTTAGCTTCACACCTAAGCCTATAATAAATTATTTTATTGTGTACACAATGTACATTTTATTTCAGTACTGACATTATAAGAACCAACCAAAATTACTTGGAGAATCATATCCAATATCCATACATTTTATTTCGTATTGAAATGGGAATTTTTACCATGGTATTAGCCTCGCCTTTACAACTACGAATGGACCTAATCTCCTTTGGATAGGATACCGTCATCCACTCACTTACTTGCACATAGTGATTATGACGTTTCACTATGCTAAACATTTTTCCGATGATTTAAAGGTGAAACTGTGATAGAGGTTGTTGAAAAGTGGCAAAAAGAAAATGAAGTGGGATGTTTTCTACCCTGGTAACAAAAGCTGATGCAAAGCCTACAAAAATGTATTGATTTGATTATTTGAGCTATGATTATGTGAAAAAATAACTGTATACTTGTGATACAATTCTATATAGGCATTTCACTATTTCCCAAAATGAAAGTTGAAACTTAACACTCTCTAAAGTACGCTAGTAATTACATTGTTAATAGATATCTACATCTTTACCTAATACAATAAATTAGTCATTAAAGTAATTAATATAAAAAAATTTTGTTGAATATCAACAGTATAACATTTTTCTAATGTTTTATGTATGGTATTCTTTTTTTTAATGTTAGACAAACGTATTGATCTTATTTTAGGCAAGAAGCCAAAATGTTTTTTTTAAATCACTGCAATATTTCACGGACCTATTTATTACGCTATTGCAACTGTAAACTATTTCCTGACTTTTTGTACTGTATGTCGTGTGTAATATCAGAAACTCTAAAAAATAAATCTTTTAAGCAATACTCAAATGTACCTATATGAATACAGAATATTTCATTCGGCTCAATCATAATATGTCAATACAAGTTTGCCATCGTACGTACGTTTAATAAAGAAACCCCATGTGGCGGTGGTTGAATACTAACCCTTAACATCCTGGCCTTGATTATAATATAGTTTCGTTTATATATAATATTATATAGGTAGGTACGCTGTCGTTTACACGCAGAACGTTCAAAGCAAAATAATAAATGTACATAATTATATTCGCATTTAAATATAGACTTAATCGAAATACTAAATTATAATAATATATACACAAAATAATGAATCACAAAAACTTTGGCAGACTCATAATATAGGTATACATTATTGTTTTACCATATAACATAATACAGTATACGAAACGAATGAACTAGTATCACGTATATTTCAAATAAATGCAAAACTTACAATGATATACCATATATTTTGTAAACCCAAACATTGGAATAAAAACAAAAAAGTATATAAATGCATGCACTATAAGAGCAGTAAATACCAAACTAAAATAAATATGTTTCCAATTGATTCAAATATTTTTACACGAATTTTATTATACAAAATCGAGCAATTATTCGTAGTATGAAAGTCGAAATCTTGAATACATTTTACAATTTATTTTTTCTATATAATACATTTATGTTAATAATTGTATCTGTTAAGATTATGCTAAAAGGTTTAAACTCGAGTTTTGAAAGTGTTAACTTTGATTTCAAAATGTCATATAGAATCGACTAAGTTTTCTTTTGGAGTTATGAGTAAGTACTCACCAACAGTCAGTACCGACATTAAATTAATGAAAGCGGAAAGAAGTGTGTCAAGCACGAAAAAAAAACTTCTGCAAAACATTCGAGATGTATTTTTTTTAAACCAATAAAAATCGAAGTTTGCATTAAATCTTAAATAAAAGAGTAGAACATTTTGAATAAGTTGCTCTCTTCAACAATTATATTGTGCTGTACTACTAAGTTATAAATTATTACATAATTCTATAGTATAGAAGTATTTGCAATGCACTCAAAAAATGTTGATTCGAAAAAATAATCGGTAGAGGTAGGTACATCGAATAAGTATTTAAATAATTGTATTGTAAATCACAGTCAGAATCTGAATACAACTCATCGCATATTATGTGGAGTATTACCATATAATATATAATAATTATGTAATATAATAATTTTTTTTATATTGAATCAATTTAATTGTCCTATCAACCAACATACGCAATTAAACCAGAAATGTGCAAATTATTTTTAATAAATTGAAAAAAGTAAACATTTAAAAATTAACCCATAGTAAATACTAAATTATTTGTAGTAATATATTTAAAAATACTAATTTTTGATAAAAAATGATTTCTTTTTTCAACTTATTAAAATATGTATTTGCAAATTTCTGGTTTAATTGCGTATGTTGGTAGATAGGACATTTAATAAGCTTTAAAATAAAAAAAAATACGTCAAAATGTTGAAAAGTTTTTAAGATGGATAAACCAATGCTTGGTATGTATGGTTTTGATAAAAAAAAGTTAATTGCTCATAACTTGAAAAATAAAATAGTTAGAGGGTATTATTTCATAATTTTTGGTACAGGTATACTTCCATATTATGGCGTCGGCCGATCACTTCCCCCCGGAACACATTGTATATGCTATATATGTATTAAATATATACCATGTGTCCGCAAAAACTGGATACACTCTATAACTCAGTTAACCTCATTATTCAGTACCCTATACATATTTTTAGAATTGTGTTTGAGGGAGATTTATGATCCAATAATCTAGTTTCATGTCCCGCAAACAAAATTCAAAAATATGTATATGGTACTGAGTAATATGAGTAATTTAATTATACAGTATACCCTGTTTTCGCGAACACATGGTATATTAATAAAATGTAAGCAGTTTGTAGTTATACATTAATGTAATATTTAAGTCTTTAATAACCATGTTTTTCCTGTGAGTTAATGTCACCAAATTTTTTTTTAATCCGTAATAGAGTAATGGTGAGAACAATGTATATAGACTATAGTTATTATAATAGAACAATCAACAAAATAACTATAATAATAATACTAAATATTATAACCATACAATATCATTAAGCAGTATAGGTAGTTCAGTAGGTCTTCGATATAGAGACATTTATTTTAAAAATAAATTGCAAACAAATAATCGACTAGACAGAAAACGGTCAAAATCCCATTAAGTATAGGTACAATGTAAAGAAGTTATACAATGATGATTGATGACAATATAATGTAGGTATAATATGAACTGGACATTTTAGTATTATCATCTGCAGACATAATTCGAAGAAATGCTGAAAAGGTCCTATTGAATATCACGAAGACACGCAAGAACAATATTTTAGAGTTAATTTTACTGCCATTGAAATATTCCGGATAATGCCAAAATAAATGGGCCATTACTCTCGACAACATTGTTTACTCGCGTTACTCAACACGTTCACGGGAAGCACAATGATAGTAGTTACACTTCCATTCTCCAATGCCGAGGGAACACGTTTTGCTCGTCCTTATTGCTACATAGCTATGAATGTAATTTGTTTTATTTCATCGGTACATCAATACCAAACAATATAATATATTATTTCGGTGACACGTAAATAATTTATACTTTCACCCTGCAAACATTCTACCGCGATAATAAAATAATATTGTTTGAAATCGTTGCAGTACTGTGTTTTATCGTATATTAATATTAAATTATTAAATTTATGAGTTTTTAAATGAAAAAACGAATAAAATATGGTGAAATACCAATAGGAACTGCTATGTTGTAGTACGTATCTAGTTACGACTTTTATGATAGTATATAGGTAATAAATAATAATAAATTATACCAAAAGTTAAACCGTCGTTTTCCTATCACTTGCGCTGTTGCGTGCCTTTAAAAAATTAGGGTGTTTTTTTTAAGGGCGTTGTGTGTGTTAAAAAGGTATTTTTTAGCTATTTTTGAGAACATTTTTTACGGTTTGCACAGGATTTAAATCCGGGCACTAATAACAATTTATCACGTGTCATTGCAGATAAAAATGGTATATGGGTATTGGGTAGGTAGTTTAAATTTGTTTACAAGTTGGCTGCATTATTTTACATGACTTCACAAGAGACGTCTCTTGTCTCCGGGTTAAATAGCAACCGAGCACCGGAATAGGTGGAGACGTATATTTTAATGAGGACTGGAAATTGTTATATTTGCACGTTTTTTTCAACTGTGAAACTTTTATAAAACTAAATAATATTTTTTTTTCGTATTTACATTAATAATTTTTTAATAATAATTTTGTTATATTAGTGTAATTTGAAAATAGAGTGTTGGTTTATTTATTTTATCTTATTCTAGGGTTAGAATATGTCGTTGTATTCATATACCTACCTTTTATGTTAACAAATAAAATATGATACACCAATGTCCAATGTACATTTACCCTAGTGGGGGTGTTAACAATACGACTAAAAAAACAGAAAATAATTTGATACAAAATGTTTGTTTTCATGATGTAAACTTTTATGTTTTTATTGAGAACTAAAAAGTAAATATTTCTTGTTGTTTTTCGAAACTAATTTATCAAGTAGTAAGCAGAGTGTTTTTTTAATAAACCATTATTTCAAAATATTTATTTGTTCTAAAACATTTTGTTTTTTTAAGGTTTTGGATACTTAGAATTGTATATTTTATCTTGTACTTTGAAATATTGTTACTTTCTTTGCTGTACTGTAAGTCTGTAAACTTATATGAACTTCGGGTCTTTGGATTTTTAAGTATGAACCATATACACAACATCAATCTAGCATACTACTCTGTACATTTTGATGGATCAATAAACCCCTTAAAAAATTAGTAGTTTGATACCTAGCTATAACGTTAGACATTTTAAGGAGTGTAGTCGCACAGTAAAAATAAAGTATGTAAGACAATATTGCGATAAAATAGTCCTTACACAAAAAATAGCAGATAAACATTTTAATTTCTATTTTTCTATAAGATAGCGAAATTGATATGGCAAGCAAGATATTATATAGGTAAGAGAATAATTATTATTTGAAATTGATTTCTATTCTGTAATAAAATAGTTTCAAATATCTAGACAATAAAAAGTATTTATATTCAAAACAGAAGGTTCAAATTCTGTATCCGTAATTTGCGGTTGCCCGGGTTAACGTCATAACGAAAATCATTAGAATTTATAAACAAGGTCGTAATACTTACTGTTTGTAGTTATTAAAAATAATGCAGTTTGCTTAAATACAAGTTTGTACCTATTAATTTGAAGTATTATTCTAACATTCTTACATTTGCTTAGTATAATTTTTCTTTTAACTTGTTAAAGAATTTCTTTTAGTCTTAAATAATTAAAAACCTAAAACCAGAATGACATTGAGCCCAATGACGTGTATACGGCGTAATAATTAGAACTCAACATTAATAAACACGCAAGTGGGGCAACTTCTCGTTCTGTTTATTTCATACTTTATTCAATATTGCAAAAAATGAAAATAAAAAATAATACAAACTTCTGTTTTTCAAACGAAAACCCCGTTTTAATTATTTAGTGGATATATTTTTAGAAATTTTGATGAAGTAGGTAGTAGGTAATTAATTCAAAATTTGAATGAGTAGTTTTTCATTTTTATTAAAATGTTTATATCTACCAAGTCCTTATAAATTGTCCTTAAAAATATAAAGTTGTTACATATTGGATCTAGTATTCACCATACTTGTACCAATTTTATAAATTATTAATGTTGATAGATTAATCTTAACAGTTTTCAATTCACTATAGCCTCCACATCTTCCAAATCCATCATGGACTACTAACCATAGTACACAAAGTTGAATAACTCAAAAGCTACTTATTCGAATTTTGATTTTGATAAGTGAACATTTTCAGAAAATGTATCCACTAAATAACTTAGATAATAGAAATGAGGGGTTCTCATTAGAAAAAACATAAGTTTGTATCTCTACAGGAACTTCTTACTTTGCAATCTTTGCGCAAGGAGTAAACTATAATATATATATATATATATTTAATCTGAATAATAATTATTAATGAAAATGATAACTATTGATAATTTTGAAATTCGAGGGAAATCATTCGGAATTGAATTACACTGTTTTTCGTAGTATTTTCATACATTTTTTTCACATTTTTGGGTTTGCCTACCCACTACTTATATATGATAAATCAGCTAAAATTACATGGTTATAGTTACAACGATATTATATAACAATATGCACTCAGAAACGTTGGCCGAGCTGACGATTCATGTGTTTATACCGCTTTGCAGGCCTCTTCCGGATGAACTGCAGTGTTAGCCACGCGTCGTCGGATTCGGGAGATTTTTACATCCGGAACGAGTAAAAAAAAAAATGTATAACAACCACTACCAAAATATAGCCCATAGTACTTACTAACGATAAATTAATCATTTAAAATGCGGAAAAATGGTTTTAAGAGAATAAAGAGTGGTGGAGAGGGGAAAGCGGGAAGAAATACCATCGAGACTTATCGCCGAATGGGTGGGTAGATAACGCGCAGCTGGTGCTGATGGACATGGTGGAGCGAGAGTTATGGTAATCGGACGAAAGGTTCCGGAAATCGAACCAGAAAGCATTTTGCCACCGTCGTTGCAAATAAATATTATGTATGTACGAGTATATGACGGAGAATGGAGATACGTCTACACCGCCTCTACTCCTCCACGCACACACACACACACACACACACACACAAGCGCACGAGCACGCACATACATTTCACATGCATAATAATATTATACATATTATGGTATGACAAGTCGAGATAAAAATTACTCAACTACAAATGTAATAGATACGAGTAGGATTGCCCGTGGGTGCACTACGGCGACAGGGTTCCGCGGGTCATACGGGGTCCCCTTCAAAGGGTAGTTGGTCGATGTACGACAGTATCTGAGAGGGTGGCGAGTGGGGGTGACGTGGAGCGTTCTGCTCTATATCTCGGCGTGACGCGCCTATACGCACCCCCATTTACACTAACCCTTCGCTCACCCCGTCCATGACGTGTTCAGGCCACTGTATTTTTGCGTATATATGTATACTGTGCATGTAAACTCACCTGCCGCCCTGGCCTCCTTGCACTCCAGGTACATGTCGGACTTTATCTCGGGATTGTCGTCCGCAATGGTCTCGCCGACAGTCACAAACCGCTCGATGGCCAAGTTCACCCCCTGGCCAACCCTGGCTATCGCCCTGGCCGTCCTCTCCGTGCAGAACGGTCGTTCCCGGTGAGCCACCAACGTCGATATCTGTAACGTAACGTACAACAATATATTATATTAATAATAGTCTCTTATCTTCTTATACATAAATATATATATGTATATTATATATATGTCAATATGTGTACCTAGTGATGGAATTTTTTTCGATACATATTTATAGGAGAGAGGGTGATGTTGGGGTCATATAGTCGGAGATAACAGAAAAAAAATGAACATGGGTAAACTGGCCATAAAACATCCCCGAGTATAGCCGTGGGACATCTTTGACGTGTGTAAATAGTGTAATATACAGTTGATTATTACTGTATAATATTATTATTATATATATATTGCCATTGGCTAGTACTAATAGCTAGTGATGTGTAGAATATTCAATAGCACTATGATAAGTAATGGTACGAAGTTATTATTATTGTTATGTGTGTAGTTGTAATAATAATATCGTCATGTGTACAACAACATTCTATTATAGTTTCGTGTTGGGCCGCGTGTGAAATCCGCAGGACGACTATCGACTGTACAAACTACTACTTAAGGTACACGCGTGGAACAACCTAACGATGATGACGACATTTTCTATTCTTTTTCGAGCCAAAGCTCGGAGATTCATTGTGTAAAAAAAATATCACAACGCTTCTGGTTCCAATTATACGTGTAGCGTGGTATGTATATAGGTTAGGTACTCGTCAATGTTATTGTTTTCTTTTTTTTATTATTTCAATGGGATGAAAGCGCGTTTCGTTTATTCAACACTGCTGTTCAGCTCTCCACGATCACTAGTCACTACTTGTATATATATTATAGTATATAATATATATGAATACAATGCTTACTATACGCACAACGGATATTTACTATTTTGTTTTTTAGTCTATTAATTATTATACAACTGTACCTCAGTCCCTGCATCGGGAACTATAGTATAATATGTCCTGTACTCCTGTATAAACAGTTATAAATGATTCTGCGATTTAGGGCATTTCAATCGATTTTTAAGAAGATAAGCAATAATAACTTATAAGCACGTAATGAAACTTGAAAGTATATGTACGATGTAGATAGGTACTGAAAAGTTGATTTTAACTTTGTTCAGCCGTAAAGTGTACTATTGCATGACGAGTTCTTTTATTTTAAAATGTAAACAACGCTTGCGTATACTAATAACTAATTGGTAATTATTATTATTATTATTATTATTCTGTAAGGTAATTAAACTCTGAAATTTCATTAAAGTTTTTCCTGTACTATTGTATAATAGGTACCTACTCAATAATTTTCAAGAAAATAGTCGACAGCTCATACATTAATCCTATCATTATATAATTAATAAGACATTTGAATTAGAATAAGCAATATATAGCCACTTTAAAATCTGATTAATTTCTCACTTAATCCGTTGTATCTTCAAAATTATTTATAAAATACTTTTGTAAGTGTGGATATATTTATTCAACGAGTTGTTGGAATATACATAAATGTATTAAAACTGATTTATCTACATTAAACAGATTCATGAATACAAAATTCGAAATTAGCATGCCACAAGAATTAATATTTATGAATTCCCGAAAAACAAAACACGCGATGAAATTATAATAACTATGAAAAAATGAAGGGAAACCTAATTAACCTGAACAAATATACCAAACATATTTAATAAACAATTTCAAAAGTTTTTACAACTTATTTTAATTTAAGTAACATGGCCACAGTTAATCCTAATCAAGTATAAGTAGGTTATACTGTAGTAATAGTGTTGTAACTGTAGTAGGTATAGTTATTTGTACATGAATAAAGAAAAAATGGAAATAATACATTTCAGTTATTAGAAATGACTTGTTTCTCTTTTTTAGAACGACTAAATAAATTGTAAAATTATCACAATATGTAGATAAAATAAACGAATTTCATTACTCAAATTAATAATGTGTACATTATATATAGTACCTATATATTCGTAGCTACATTTAAAAGTAGTCTATAAAAATAAATTGGAGAAAAGTGTATTATATTATACCCGTTTAGGCGTGCATATACAATATACATATACTTAAACTCTTAAGTACGTATACTATCCTCTATTTCATGAAACAATAAAATACTAACAAAAAAATATTATATTATTCGATGCTTTTAAAGCTCAGATACTAGTATGGGAGAATGCCGACCTTAATCGTTTTTTTATTATATTATGGTTTTTATGTGATGCAAAAATAAAACCGGTGAAAATATACTCGTGGTTGGTTGTTATGTGAAAAAAGTAATTGACAGTAAAAGTACCTATTTGTGTATCATCTGCCCGATGTACAATATTGTACAACCATAATCATAAAGCTACAGTAGGTGCTCATATCATTCTGTACAACAAAATAACATTTAATGAATGTTTATCACGAAAAATATTAGACGTATTATTTTTCATTGATGTTTTATAACTCTCATCGAACTGATGAACACTTAAAAACTATTCCACATTTAGGTGCCGACAAAATAACAGTGGATTTTATATGAATAAGGTATTCGAAGGGATACTTGTTAATCAAATAACAATATATTGTTATTTTTCTGTTGTAAAATATTCAAATAACGTTATAAAACCAAAGACAATAATTTAAATATAATAAAATGTGTTCGGAAGTGATAATTATTTATCGAAAAATAAATCCCGATTTGATATAAAACGCTCGATGAAAATTACTGTCCATCAACGTTCATACTAAGTTTATTACTTATACGTGTTTCATATAGTGTTCTAAATTATGATAAAACGTGCTTGGTGTTGGTCAAATGGATTAGCTGTACCTAATCTTTAATTAAACGTGCCCAAAAATTAGCGTTTAATTTCAGATCCAAGACAATTTCATCGGCCGCAAACAATTTAATGGGTTCGTATGAATGTGTCTAATGGGATTACTGTCTAAGTAATGAAGGAACGTACGAACTTAAAACTAGGACACGGAAAAGGTAAATATATACGTATATTATAAGTGAATCTATATGGGAACTCACGAAATTTAAAGATGTGAACTGACCGTGCATTGTGTTTATTGTTGAACCACAGTTGGTACGTGGCGCTTTTTGTTCAATTAATCAGAATATAATAAAGGGCTCCAATTAGCATGAATATACACATACGCATAGCTCAGCATACGCATTTGTATAATGAAGCAACAGCATTTTTAGAGTGATAAAAACAATTATACTGTGTAATTATAAATATTTGTACAAGATAAATGTTTGAACCAGAAGGTTTAGACAATTTTTTTTAAAGATTTTATAAGAGTATGATGATAATTAACCTACCTACTAATAAATGCAAAATTTTAATATTAAATGTTTGGACTTGAACCAACAGGTGTCCTACATAATTCTCAAGTAAAAATTAATGTATTTTTAAATTATACAACTCATCTATTATCCATTTTTCTATATATTATATTTTCTTCTATATTTTATATAAAGTATTCGAAACTGGCATAACTCATCTAGTTTATATTGGTAGTCGGCAACCGTTGCAATTTTTAACTAACTATATTATTTTATTTTAAAAATAAAGTTTTCGGACCACTGTAATTTTTTTTAATTTTCCTATGCCAAGACTGGACAAATAAATAGGTATATGTTACTTATATTGTTATATTAATTGTAAAATAATGAAGATTTATTTGATTTAAATTAAAATTATGTGCAAATAAAATACTCATTGAAATTACAAATGTATTTCTTATATTTTTTATTCAAACATAAAAAAAAGTACCTATAGTAGTTCAAAAATATGAAATGTGCTATGAATAATAGAAATAAACAAAAAAATCTTAAAAACGTATTTAAAAATTACACTCACAGAAAAATGTATATTAATAAAGTAACACAGATATTAATAATATATTGTACTACAAAATATAATGCATAAAAAACTAATTAAAAATGCGAGGTAGTTATACAATATATTATTTTATTAATTTATATCACATGTATTTATTTTTATAAAATATAAAATAAGTTCTTTATTAATAAAAGGTTGTACTTTATAGGCTAATTCTAAATATTGTATAAATAGATATTCTAAAGCAATAATCGCATAAACATTAGCTCTTGAATTAAAATATTATAATTTAATGTTTTAGGAAGTCGGTTACGGCAATTCAATTGTTAGCTAAAGCTGAAAGCCATACGAATAATAATAAACTATCTTACTATTATTGATTTTATAAGCTGTGTGGGGTATTGGACACAGGTACAGCGTTATTTAAATACCTGCTAATTTTGATAGTGCTGAATAATGACTACTTACTTCCTATTCCGATTAGAAATATAAATTATATACGATTTACGCTCAACCACTATGTTTAAAGTAAACAAAATTAAAGAACTATATCCAAGTCTGCTTTTTTATTTCTCAAACACACGACTCCTGTATCATTTATATTAAATAATATATATGATTACCTACCTACATAATAATAATATGTCATCACGCAATCCAGAGTTTGAAATTTGAAGCTAAATGCAATGAATTATTATTATTCTCTAATGTATATTATTATACCATTCAATTATCATGAAATTATTTTTAATTTATAAACGGCACTTAATAGTAAGAATAGTATGTATAATTATATTGTTTAATTTAACACTATATAGATTATAGGTAGGTACTAGTAAAAACTATAACCATTTATTTGTTAGTGACTATAATAATATAAAATAATAATAATGTTTGATGAAAATAAAGTGATTACCCGTAAGTACTCAATATCTTCCATAATTAATATTGAGTAAAATAAAAAGGCATGGTGAACATGCCAATTCGTTGAAAATCAAAAAAATGATTCCTGCTAAAGAAAACTAAAAAATCATATTTTACACTTTCAATATACATGGGGATAGGTACCTACATTTGTTTAAAATAAAGTTGAATCAAATCATAGCATGTAATATTATTTATTTAACTTCGTTAATACAATTATATCAAACATCAAAGTATGAAAATTGTTTTTTAATATAAGTACTATATTGTAAGT